ATGCAGCAGGATTCTACAAAAATAGAAACAATTGCCTGACTGTACAGCAACCACTGTGAGGATGAGGCTGTTCTGAATAGTTTAATTTCCCCAATATAGTAGCGCTTTGAAAATCTGAGATGGTGGATTTGTCCAACATATGAGCTACAGGAAAGCCCAGAGCTGTTGTGCCATATGGTGGACTGCTTCATGTGGGTTTAGGGAGGAGGGGGCAGGGAGTACTCTTAGGTAAGCCTTTACAAGTCTCTGCTTAGGAGAAAATGTTCTTCATTTTAAGTATTTTGTAGAATTCATGAGAATTTTCGTGACATGCTTTGCAGAAAACATTCAACTTAACTAAAGGGTAACAAACCTAGGTTAGGACAGGCTGTTGGTCTTTGCCAGTTTGCATTCATCTCAGCCGTCATCAGACAAGTCCAAAGAGATTGTCAAGTCCCATGAAACCACAACCACAAGTTCAGCATTGAAAAGAGAAGCAGGAATGGACAGAATGATGGGAAAAGTAGGGAGGAGACAGATATTGCCTGACATTACTGAGCATTACCATAATTGGCTTTTCTACATGATAGGACAGAGGAAATAATAATGTCATTTTATTTACAGCCTTCTCTCTGCCCGAACACGCACACAGTCATGCACACCCCACAGGTCAATGACACACACTGATCAGGCCTGTCCAAAGCCATCAGAGGTGAGTGGCAGGGAATGGAGGGACCGGTGACAAAGCGAAACGGCAGAGAGAAATAAGACTGCCACGCCGGAGCTGCCTCTTTGAAGGGCCGCTAAACGCTCTGAGGGAGCCTTGTTGGCCGCCCCGCCACAGATGCGGGAGCTCGGCACACTGGGTAAATCAGCAGGGTGAAGGCTGCTGGAATTGGACATTAGCACTGCAAATGAGAGTGGGGATTGCCCTCTTCTCTGAGACAACATGAATAAATGAGAAAGGCTTAAAGGGGAATGGGTGTGTGCTGTGTGTGTGTATACTTAAAAAAAAAGAGGAAAAGAAGCTGGGCTGAGGTTGTCGGTGCCATGTCATGGTCAGGTTATCTGGTATCTTGAAACATAACATTTTCCTCAATAAGCATTTACTAAATTTTCATTTTAGTGACAACACTTACCCATGTTGAAACATTTTGGAATGCTTGGAGAAGGACTTACATGTGATGATTTTCAACAATGACTGCTGTAAGTCTAAAGAAAACTAAATAAAACTCTTTTTATAAGCTTGAAAGCATCATTGTAAAGCAATAAAAAATATTCTAAGATTGAGCCATGGACAGTCATAAGATTCCTCTAAAAGACCCCTTCTAGAAAAGTAGTACAAAAACAACAAATAACTTACATTTCTATTACTAAATACTACTACTGACTAAATCTATAGTACGATCTCAATGTTTTATTTAAAAGCAAACAAATATTGATGGTGTAGCTAACAAATATTACCAACTACAAATATCTGGGTATTAAAGGTTTGATATTATTCACATTTGTTTATTATTGTGGATTCGATGAAATATAGAAAGATGCCCATTATATTTCAATTTAGTTAGTTTAGTTAGTTGAGTACTAACTCTATTCCATTCTATTTTATGTGAATTCCGCTGCTCAATAGACGTAAGGCCAATGTCTGTATAGCTGTAATTTAAAATAACTTTTTCCTAGTAAAGGTTTAACTTCCCAATTATGACTGTCTTCATTTTGTGATCAGTAATATTTCAGCTCAATTGGAGGAAAAAGTGCAGTTTTTGTCTTTCAGCCTGCTGCCTGGCAGAGGTCAACAAGGGACATGTCAGCGCTGCGTTCAACTATGCTTACTCTGGCACTTTTTCTTACAACTAAATTGACTTTTGACAAGAAAAATAAAACTGACATACCTTGTAACATGATTTTGATCCACACTTTTTGCTCCATATTATATCAACTACAAATAGATAGTGATAAATAAATATTCTGTAGTTGCATGTGTGCAGCTTTTAAAGACAGTTAAAATACAATGAACGATTTAACTATCAAAAACTGTCTATTCTGATATTTTATGATCAAAACACATATTGGAGATTGTTATAATTACCTTTAGTCAAGTGCTTAAGGATAACATTTGATATATTGCTTGGTGCAGCTGGTTAAGAGCATATTTGCTTTGTATAGAAGATAAAAACTGACATTGGTGCATTACTTGGATTCTCATAAGTATATAGATCACTCATTCAACCATATCCTGTAGAGGAAATTTTTATGTTTTTTTTGTTTTTTTTTTAACACAACTTTTGTTAAGCCTTGCATTTGCACATACATGCATAACCGTCGAATATTTTTGCCTTAGATGAGAAATGGTGTTTCGAGAAGAAGGCGTACATGTGTGCATGTGTGCGTATGTCACTGGGGTTGGGAGAAAAAAGGGAGGGGATATCCTACTGTGGTGTCACCTGTCTACAGCAAAAAATCCTGGACTCTCTGGGCACAACAATAGTGACAGGATCCTCTCCAGACACAGATGGCTTCGCTTTCCCCCCACCAGCCACATTGCAGCTCTGCTTGCACCTGACACACCGTGACACTTAGGATACACACAAACATGTGCAATGCGCACCCACAACTGATCGGCCACACCTGCGGTATGTTCTATGAAAGTTGAAGCTGCAATGAAGAGATGTGATTATTGTCACGATTTTATTTTCCTGATATTATTAAGCTGTTTAACTTTAGTCCAATTGATTTCTTTTTTGTCAGATACACCAACACACACACCTCTTGTTCATAAGCCTAAACACATCTCTCTTCCTCTCTTTTCAGAACTTCTCTTTCGCCTATCCTCCCTGACAGCACAAAGTGGGCTTACGTTTTTGATTGACAACCACAACAGACACTTTTCTCCCCCCCATCCTTCCCCTCCAGCCTCCTGTTTTAATCCCCTTCCCATCCTGCTCTCCCTCCTTCCCTTTGCTTCCTCTTTTGTTCTGAGTGACGCTTGAAAGCCGCCATGTCAGCATCTTTTCCATCTCTGATTGCCTTATTAGCCGGCGGTGGCACCCGCAGCTTTTCTGACACAGATGGTGAAGGAAGAGGAGGAGGTGGAGGCTCGAGTAGGGGTGAAAAGGGAAAAAAAAATGGCTGACTTGTGTTTGTTGTTGTTACTTTCTGCTGCACTTCCTTCCCTCCCATCGCTTTTCTGGCTTGTTTGTGTGGACACTGACACCTTGGGCTGACACTTACATACTCCTGACACTGATGCCTGTCAGGGTAACATACAGAGGATGGCAGGAAAAGAGTAGACTTTAGTGTTAGTGTGCTGGCATTGTGTGTGTATTTGTACTGCTGTCAGGTTTCTCTCTCTATGTTTTGTCTTTACTCTTCTCCCTTTGACTTTGTCTTTGCATTCATTTCAATACGGTGGTTTGCATATTGATGGGGAGGATGAGATCATTTGAAGGAGTTACAACAACAAAAACTTGAAAAGATGTGAACTCACAAACTACATTTATTCATCAATTCTCACTCATTAGTAACTGAGAGATTTTTTTTTTTACTAATATCTATACACAAGTTGTTTACACAAATTTGTTTAAAGTGCACTTAAAGTACAGTGCAACATATGTAAAATATATAAAAAATGCATTACCATTAATAGTAAAAATAGTGAATCATATTACAAGAAGTGTGAATAGGAATGTCCATGACCTTCAGAAAAGACTAAATATACCATCGTAGAAAGAGTTGGGGTTAGCACAAACATCAGCACACAGCTGATGTTTCTGTTAGAGGAGCCTGTTTCCAGGGACACAGAGACATAAACCAGGTGTAAGATGTGTCACTGTTAAGACATAAAAGCAATTATCTTTGCAAAAGTGCACTGTGATTTCAAGTAGGAAAGACGTATTGATGCTCTTCCTTATAACAGCCAGGTGTTAGACCTCAGGCTTATTTCCCAGATGTTTGGGGACCTCAGGGACATCAACAGTTATGTCCACTCTGATCATAGGAGAGAAAGCTACAGTTGTTTGAAGCTGACAGCAACTCTACCTCCTCACCGATGATACTATGGCACTTTAAACAAGCATCTTATGAGGGATAGGTTAAAAGTGAGCCTTTTTAAATTTTTTTAAACCTTTTGCAACCTAGGTTATCTTAAATGTATTTTAACATGGTTATATTTGTAAACTGTGCAGGCATTTGCTTTTCTAAAATGATATAACATGGCAGTCTGAGCACACAGGGAGCACAGGCGATAACAACATGTCTTCTCATGTCCACTAGCCGTTTCCTAACATCATGCTGTGCGGACTTCCACAACCGATGCCAAGTCAACTCAAGCCAAGCATGGCTTGGCAAGCCTGGTATAACTGGCATTTCGTTCCACTATTTCTAACTTGTTAATACGCAGTATGTGGAAATTTAAGCAGATCATTGAAATGTGGAACATATTAACAAAAGAAAAAAAAAAGGAAATGTTCTAACCTTTTTGGGGTAATTTTCATTTCTTCTGAAATTAAATTGAATATGCTATTACAAAAACTAAAAATCTTGCTCATAATCCCCTGTAAAAAAAATCTCTTGCATCAATGACAAATTGTTTCTTTGAAGTAGAATTTTGCTATATGCTGTTTTTCGAAAACATATTATGTATGTGTTATTCTTGTATCTACTTAGACAAATTTGATTACAAAAAGTGTCTTGTGGTTTTTGATTTCAGAAAAAAAAGATTGCTTCCCATAATTTTTTATTCCTTATCCCAGCTGCCTGAAATATTGTAAACACTAGACAATATTTCAGTTCGGGACTGGAGTGGAGAAAGATTTTCTGTAATTTTGAGATTGTGGATGTGGGACTTTTTATTATTGCAAACCTTAGTTCTGTCCGAAGACTAATACCAATATTTTTGATGGATTACTGCTTCCACCACCCACATATTGTACAAGTTTTGTTCTTGTTGGTCAAATGCAACAAAATAAAGATAGAAAAGTATCCAAATTAACACTCTCTTTTTTTTATTTTTCTTCTAGCTTATGGACCTGACGATGAGTTTAAAACAGGGAAACCTGATGAAGACGAGCACCTCATGGACGATTGTCTTTCCCTTGATGGTCAAGATGGAGACTATATCTTTAATGATGATGAAGACCCAAGGGAACCCTATAGCTGCCAGAACTCTCCCCTTAGCAATGGCACTAACCAAGATGCTGGATATGCTTCCCCTCTCAGTACTACGAGCGATCAACTGGTGGATCTTAAGACCACCACTTCCACCTCTAGTGATCAAGAGAAGCTAGAGGAAAAGCTTGGGGAAGGCACTGAGTCAATGGATGCCCTCTCTCTTCAGGACAGTCTGACAAAAATGAAAGCTGTCTATGCAAACTTCATTTCAGATGCCGCCTGGTCCAGCATTGCTGTGGATATGCTTAAAAGTAAACAAGGTAATAATTTGGCAGCTAGCAATGGTAGAGGTAGCAATTACAAAGGCAGCAATGGGTTTCTGAATAATCACAGTTCAAACCACAGCCATCTAAAGAGCAGATTTAGTGGTAATGATACCCCAGTCACCACTCAAGTAAACAGCAGCAGCACGACTACACGGACAGTCTCAAGCAACAGCAGCACTGGCACTAGCTCCGCCAACACTGGAGGATTAGCCTATGACTGGCATCAGGCAGCTTTAGCAAAAACTCTTCAGCAAAATCCATACCAACTCCTTCCTGAGCCAAGCCTCTTCAGCACCGTGCAGCTTTACAGGCAGAACAACAAATTGTACGGGCCAGTCTTTACTGGAGCCAGTAAGTTTCGATGTAAGGACTGCAGTGCTGCCTATGATACCTTGGTTGGTTTGACTGTGCACATGAATGAGACTGGCCACTACCGTGATGACAACAAAGATCCAGAGGATGATCGAAGTAAGAAGTGGTCCAAACCACGTAAGCGGTCTTTGTTGGAGATGGAAGGCAAAGAAGATGCTCAGAAAGTTCTCAAGTGCATGTATTGTGGCCACTCTTTTGAATCCCTGCAAGATCTTAGTGTTCACATGATCAAAACTAAACACTATCAGAAAGTGCCTCTAAAAGAACCAATGCCAGCTCTCACATCTAAACTTGTACCCCCAACCAAAAAAAGAGCATTTCAAGACTTAATGTCCCCAAGCTCACCAGAGTCTGTGTCTCCTGGCATATTCTTTGGAGACTCTCCAAAAGACCAAAAAGCAGCTAATCCCTATGTCACTCCTAATAACAGATATGGTTACCAAAATGGGGCCAGTTATACCTGGCAGTTTGAAGCCCGAAAGGCGCAAATTCTCAAATGCATGGAATGTGGCAGCTCCCATGACACATTGCAACAGCTTACAGCCCACATGATGGTCACTGGACATTTTCTGAAAGTCACAAATTCAGCCTCTAAAAAGGGTAAACAATTAGTTTTGGATCCTGTAATTGAAGAGAAAATTCAGTCGATTCCTTTGCCTCCCACCACAACTCGTCTCCCGGCGCCCAATGGCCAGCCCCAGTCTGACTCCCCTTCGCAGCCATGCAGCCCCAAAGAGAAAAATGAGGATAAAATAGATAATGAGGCAGAGGAAGAGAAAGTAGAATTAGGCGAAACTGATAAAAAAATTAAAGAGGAATATGAAGACCCAAGTGAAAAGTCTGACAAGCCTGTTAAGACCAGATCTTACCAGTACCTTACAGAAGAGGACTTAGAAGAAACACCAAAGGGTGGCCTAGACATCTTAAAGTCTTTGGAGAATACAGTGTCAAGTGCAATCAGCAAGGCCCAAACAGGAGCACCAACATGGGGTGGCTACCCCAGCATTCACGCTGCGTATCAGCTCCATGGATCCCTTAAGTCTACTTTGTCCTCCTGTGCACCGGTTCAACCTCTATTCAGCAACTCCAACTTGAAGGTATTGTCCTCTGACATGGCCTCTTTGATCCATTCACCAAATAGCCCCTCTCCACCTCTTAGCCAAAAAAACAATGTGCTGGCTATGGAGGAGCTTGTGGAAAAGGTGACAAGGAGTAATTCTACAAATGATGAAAAAGATGAAACTAAGTGCATGTCTACAAAATCACCATCGCAAAGTACCAAGGCCAGTGCAGATGCTGCCCCCAAAGTAGTGCAAATCTCTAAAGTTGAGATCCCTCTTGATCTAAAAGGTACAGAAGAGCAAACTGAGCCTAAAACAGAAGTAAAGATAAAAACTGAGGATGAATCACCACAGAAAACAGGTATCAATGGCTGCAATAGCCTTAGCATTATCACTGATAATTTATCTGAGCAATCTCTTGTGAGCCCTCTCAGTGCTTTGCAGTCTGTTATGAATAACCATTTGGGGAAAGCCGCAAAAGTTCCAAGACCTTCTGTGGACCCATTTACAATGCTTTATAAGATGAGCAGCTATGCCCACACTAAACAAGCAGAGCCATCAAGTCAATATAATAATGATAATAATGATCAGCCCATAGACTTAACAAAATCCAAAACCAGCAATGTTGGTTCAGCTAAAGCTAATCCTATAACACCAAACAATAATAATGCAAACAATGTTAAAGCAGTTTTTAGAAATTTCTCCCAATCATCATCTTCACCCCTTCGAGAGAATGCTTTGATGGATATTTCGGACATGGTTAAAAATCTCACGGGCCGTTTAACACCTAAGTCTACTACACCATCCTCTGTCTCAGAGAAATCAGACATAGACGGCTTTACTTTTGATGACAGCATGGAGGAGCTCTCTCCCATCCAAAGAAGGAAAGGCCGACAGTCAAACTGGAATCCTCAGCACCTCCTGATTCTCCAGGCCCAGTTTGCCTCTAGTCTTCGGGAGACACCTGAGGGAAAGTTCATAATTAGTGACCTGGGACCTCAAGAGCGAGTACACATTTGTAAATTTACCGGTCTCTCCATGACCACTATTTCGCATTGGCTGGCCAATGTAAAGTACCAGTTAAAAAGGACAGGTGGAACAAAGTTCCTCAAAAACATTGACTCTGGCCAACCTCTGTTTTTGTGTAGTGACTGTGCTTCACAGTTCAGGACTCCCTTGTCCTATATTAACCATTTGGAGACCCACTTGGGATTTACCTTAAAGGACCTCTCCAAACTTTCTCTAGACTTACTTGAACAGCAGGCAGTAACCAGAATTGCGGAAAAGACGTTAACGTCTTCTGGACTTAATGAAGATGATACTGGCTCAGCGTATCAGTGCAAACTGTGCAACCGGACATTTGTGAGCAAACATGCAATCAAATTGCATCTTTGTAAAACACATGGAAAGTCACCAGAAGACCATCTGATCTATGTGAAGGAACTTGAAAAGTTAGATAAACAGTGATATCGATGATATGGCATGATATATTCTTGTTGCACTAAAACTCTTAAGTCTCAATCTGTCAACACAGGTTGTGCCACAGCTGTTTCATATAAGATTTAACACCATATATTGTAATTATTCATTGAATTTGAATAAAAAAGGTTTTATTTGCAATAACTCGGAAACAGATTGTTATGGTTGCTTTTACACATTTCTACAGATTGGTGCAACAGACTCAGCACTATAGAGTCATTGAATAATTGTTATTTCATCAATGCACTGCATTTTAACTGAGCCTCTAGCAGTAGTCTGCTGTTTTCAAACTGACCTATGCTCTTGTGTTCATCACTGTTTATTTTAGAATAAATATATTTTACTGTATTTTGCATATTATGAAGCTGTGCATGTTTTCATGTAAAGCAATGAGAATGTTAGGTCTGGTTACTTTCAGTCATTATGGCTTAATTGATGTCCCCAATTAACAAAGCTAACTACTTTAAAGTTTAATGGATAAAGATAGTGTTCCAAAATGATTCTGCACTTTCTGTGAGCCTAAACCAATGAAGGAAATTTGATTTAAAAAGATCAAGTTTGGTTTTAAGGCCCTTAATCGAACCATGATGTTGTTTATTTACCATTATGCCACAATGAAATTTCAGGCATCTGTTTTTCCTTAAACCCAAAATTCTTACTTGTCGTCTTTTTAACATGTACAGTACTTGCTTAGAAGCCCATCAGAATTATCATGAAGGAGCTAAAGTTTTAAAGGTAATAAAGTTAAAAACTCAATGTAAAAAATAATATTAATAAATAATGTATGTTGGCATATCTTGCTACTTACAAGTTCAGTATTATTTGTACTGTGTGGATTTTTACGGTGTTATTTTCTAGACCAATTCAGAGGTTGATGGTGTGAAGCTACAGATTACTGTTGGACCAAAAATGTCCTTTTTTCAGTGAGTTGTAGGTCCCTTAATGTGCTTTTTATGAAATTACATTTCTGACATCTGATTTGATGTCAATGACTGTATATAAGCTTGAAATGATTTGCTCTCAAGAGTTCCAGGTTTTTGTCATGACCAGTTATTCTAAATGGCATCCTTTATCCTAAGTTGTAAAATAAATGTCATGTCCTGGAATAAAGTACAGTGTGTTTGGAGTTTTTATTTTTATTTTTTATAATACAACGATGCTGTAATTGCAAGAAATTGTTAGGGTTAAGCCACAGTGAATTATAGGCTGCCATCAAGTTCTTCTAAATGTTCTCTTACACACTTAATTTAGCATTCCATTTAACTCTCATACACATATCCAAACCATCTCAGCCAAGCATCTTCATTTTTATCAAAATAATTGAATCCAGTTTCTAAACCTGTCTATTTTGGTCATTCTCAATGCAAATCATAAGTCTTTGCTTGTCTACCTCTAGCAGTAAAGACTTTAATAATTTTAGAGTCCTTCATGCTTCTACCCCACAGAGTACACTACAGACATCCCACCTACTTGGACTCCCTACTGTTGCCATTATGACACCAACAAAACACCAGAGACCATGGCAATTTCTGCCTGATTTCATGTTTGAGCTTGATACAAAGTCACCCATGCTTCAAACATGTCTACCGCTCTGCTCGTTTATGGCAAAAACACACAGCTGGACTAGATTGTTGGTATCCCTTGTTTAATAAAAGAAAAACCAACAATGGTCACAGAAATACCTTGAATCTGAAAAAAAATTATATTCTAAAAGATGCAACAAATTAAAGTATGACATTACTTTTCAATTATGTTTCCCCAGAATTATAAAAAAAAAACTAATAAAATTGGCTTGGAAAGAAATGATTGTGCCTTTAACATAATGTTTCGTTACTTTACCTTTTGAGGTATTCACTGATTCCTGTAACTGCAATGAGACCTCTCAGCAGGTATTTTTGGTCCACTCCTCATGGGCAAACGGCTTCAGTTGTCTCAGGTTTGGAGCCTTTTCCAGACGGCCCTTTTCAGCTCCTTCCAAAGATGCTCATTAGGATTTAGGTCAGGCTGATATAGGGCCACTTCAGAACAGTCCAATGTTTTCCTCTGACCCATTCTTCAGTGTTTTTAGAGTGTGTTTTGTGCCATTATCCTGCTGCAAGACCCAGGCCTGCAATGTACTGTAAATAAAATGTGAAATGCAGCAGAACTTTTGCAGTTGGCTTTTGATTCAAAGGCTATAGCAATACATAATGTTGTTAAAGAGATGCTGTCAATCAAAATCACATTTTATGTTCTGCACAATGACATTAAAGCCTCCTATTTTTGTTTAAAGTTTCGGCAATTTATAGTTAAAAGTGTAAAAACTTATCTTTTTTACTGCCTGAATTTAATGACTGCATTTATATAGGTGTTATTATTAGAGCATTATTACCTCCATTAATAATAAGATACATTTTCAGAATCGAAGAATTTAAGTTTATACATTAGGCTGGTCACCTGTTTGTTAAGCGCCACAACAGCCTCTCCTCCAGAAAGTCCAGACTCCGGTAAGTGACGAAATATTACCAATAACGTGTTTTGGCTTGCTTGCAGTTCAGTGTGATTGAAAAAACCACAGAACAGAACAAAATAATGAAGCAGTTTTAACAAATTCAGATTCAAATCCGCAACTCTAAATTGATCTATCCTAAAGTCAGGAACTCTGAGTGTTCGGTTTTAGAACGGCTGCTATCAATTAGTTCAATCAAATTTAACTAGATCCACTCAGAGTTACCGCATGCGCAACAAGTGTGAAAAGTCCTTCTCAGTGGAGAACTAACTTGACAAGTCACCATGAAAACAAACAACAGGAAGTGCCTATTTCATCCCACCGGAACCAGAGATTTTAAGGTAGAAATGCAAAAAAAATAAAAAAGGAGAACGTGTTCAAAAGACAGCTACAAAGGAGAGGAAGATGTCAAAGGAGAAGATGCTTGAGTTAAGGTGTTAATGCAGTTTTTACATTTATTAAAAGCACTGCTCTCTGTTGTTCCATTTGTTGGTCAATAAAAGGGAGTTTTTCCTCTCCACTGTCGCTACAAGCATGCTTAGTGTAAGGGATTGCATTTGAGTCAATGAGTCGATGCAATCAACTGGTTTTCCTTAGATAGAAAACTTTTAATTAATTTGACTGTATGATATGGTGAACTGCAAAGTGCCTTGAGATGACATGTTGTGAATTGGCGCTATATAAATAAACTGAATTGAATTGAATTGAATTAAAATAAGATTCTTTCTCATCAAAATCGCACTCCTAGACCTAACTGTAATATTATATTTTCTAAATTGCATTTTTGTTGCAGAAACTGAATTTTAGAAAGTAAATAAAACAAAATTACACTAGTAAGAATTAAGTTTTATATATCTAGAAATGTTTACAAATTTTAAGTCTGACATTTATCAGCTTGACTGAAAATGTATTTATGCTATATGACAAAACATTTTTTCATAGTTAAAATAATACAAATGCTGACTAGTAATATTAGGAATATGGAGATCTGAAATAAATTTATAGACATCCAGAATATTTATTCTAGATGTGAAGGATGTCATTTTGTTTGAAATGTTCATTTAGACAATGAAAAAAATAACTTTTTTTTTGAGATATCAGAAATACATATTCAGTAAAACTAGTGCTTCACCTAACTTTAAATGACATGGTTAAATCTGTGTCGTTGAGGCCTTTTGACGCACGGCAGCTACCGTTGCCACAATACGTGTTTGAGTCAGCCATATTCTACGACAGATTTTTCGTGTGAGCAAAATAGCTCCATTTCACTCCTGGATGACAGTAATTCTAACACATTGTCCCTTTACTTTTGCTGAAGTTTGTTGCCTTTAAATGTAGATTCATGCAGTTGTAATGTTAATTTCACTGCTAAGCTGCTGCTCATTCACTATCTAAAAGCTATACAAAATGAAATTTCTATGAAATTACAATTAAAGTTGTCCAAGTAGCTGATGTAAGAAGTTTAGCTTTTGCATTTGGGAATACAGCATTCTCCTAGAGGCATTGCTAAACAATACAGGTAGATTAATGATGAGTGATGAGTGAACCAGTACAGCAATTGGGGGCTGATACCCCCGTCTCTCTCAGGTCACGGCTATCAATCAATCAATAAAGAGAGAAGAGGGCAACAGGTGTTGACAAAATTATGGTTTCTAATATTTAAAAAAAGATTATGTTTACATTTTTGTTTCAGTTAGTTAAATTTGTTTCTTGTAAGTTAGGTTTAAATATTTCAGTAATTAAAATTAAAAAAAATCAAATGATTAGGCTAATTATCACTAACCTTCTACAATGACAAGTTGGAAATTTGACAAAAATCTATATTTTTTCTTTGAAACATATATCATTTATTTATTTATTTTCATTTTTAATTTTCTTACATCCTTTGCAAAGAAGAATCAAAGTTTAAGGAACTACTTTTGTGATTTGATACCTGTTAACCCTTCTCTTAATGGCACTTGTGAATTAATATTGTTTATTTATTAGTGCTTGTATTTAAAACACTTTTGTAACCAATCATCAGATTTGGTTTCACATGCAACCCAACCTTACCCTGAAACCAGCCTGAAAAAATGTGCTATTTGGTAAAACTGATTATGATAGGAATCTAAATTTAAATGGCTCTTAATCACATTTAATTTTAAATCTATAGTCTTATAGATTTACTTTGACATCTAAAAGATAACACTTTCTATACAGGGGAAACTAAACATTTTTTATTAAATACAGAAACAACTAATTCATGCTCCATGTTGACCATAGTTTTTTTTTTTTTTTTCTCTTTCTTACTCTTAGTGTTTGAAGTTGCAGTAAATGTTTCCTGTTTTGGTAGGTTAGGATTATAAAAACTACTCCAAACCATAAAAATAAAAGATTTGTATATACGTTTCTTATGATGCTCTTTAAAGACAAAGATTTGCATCCACTTAGAAGAGTATACTTTAGAAAATGTCAGTGACTTCTGGTGATTGTCCTTGGTTTGTAAGCTTTTGATTGTTTTATTCACAACATTTTTATAAAATGGAGGTAATGTTATTAGCCAAGAGCAGAAACACAATCCTATAAACCTCCACAAGTTTCTTAAGACATGTCTTGTGCTTAAATGCGACCAAAGTTGAACTGGTTTTAATTCTGACCGTATTTGCTCATTTTGACTGCAAAAACCAGGAACTTTGTAAACAATCACCCATTGAAATAAACAGAAGCTTAAATGTATGGGTACTGGCAACTCATTCTCTAATGTTAAAGATCATCAATACCTTAGTTTTCTGAACCAACTTAAATTATTTTCCCTTTATTTAATAGTTAGTTTTTGATATTTACACAACTGTATTTGGTTTCATCCCAAAAAATTATACTTTTTCTATTTTTATTTTTTTTTAGTGCAGGTGATGGTTTTTGAAACAGGATAATGACCAAAAACACACAACTAAAAACACTTAAGTGGGGCCAAATCAAATATGTCAACACCAAATGGAGGACAATAATAAACCTATTTTTGCTTTTTTAAAGATTGAATATTATCAACATTAATATTCTAAATTATCTTTCTTTTTGCCCACTGAAATACTCCAGAATTTAGCTTAATCTTCAAAAAAGAAGGTGGAATTATACTGTCTTCAAGTAAAAAGCCAAGTGTCTCCTTTCATTACATAGTCACGTATGACACATAAGTATGACACGTATTCAGTCTTTAATACAGTAATATTTTGAACTTTAAGCTTGACTGTGAGGAAATAAGAATTCATACATAATCCCCCATTAGACGAAAAAGAATAAAACATTCATTTTTAAAATCCAGTTTTGGAATTTATAGTTCGACACAAGGCTGAGCTTTATAGTTCGGCAACTGAAACACCTGATAAAAGAGGCCATGACATGTCTCCACTGAAGGTATTTAAGTCGACATGCTCCCACCCCACGCAGCTCTTAAACACTAGCCTGAGGCATTTCTCTCAAGAAACAATGGAGTTCTAGTGCCTTGCGGCATTATTTTTGTGTCTGTGGGGAGGCTGTGGCAAGACATACAGAAGATGTATCACTTAAGTTTAATCCTCAGGAAGTTAACTTAGGGGAACAAAGATGTCTAAATAAATATTTTGCTGAAATTAGTTTCTGTATC